ATTTCCAAAAGCAAATCACACCATCGTTGGTGGAAACAAAATTTGGGAATCTTTCATAAACATATTCTTTCCAACCTACTAATATTGCATAAATCTGTTGAAACGGAGAATGAATGAGGAAACAAAAATGAAAACCACTATGTATAAACATCATATAAACAACTATATAAACATGAAATCCACTATGTATAAATATTTATGTTAGAGAATATTATATTATAGAACTCTCCTAATATTAGGATTCTAGTATGATTCGGTTACCTAGATTAGTTAGGATTTAGTTACCTAGTCAAACTCTATTACCTTGCAATATTTCTCTATATATATTCCATGTAATCAACCCATAACACAATGGGGGTTTCTTTTACGTAATATTATTTCTCTCTTTCTCCTATTCTATTCTTCCTATATGGTATCAGAGCTCCAGGTTTAGGTTTTTTTAACCTAGCCGCCTTTCTTCTCCATGGCGGTGAAAACCTAGCCGCATTTCTTCTCCATGGCGGTGACCACCCAATTTTCTCCCTCCCCCGGTGGTGGTACTCTAATATTTTTCTTTATTTTTTTTCTTTTCTATCTATCTTTTTATGAACACCACCCGAATTTTCTCCCTCCCCCGGTGGTGCTTCTCTATCTTTTTCTATCTTCTTCTTCTTCTTCTTCTCCATGGCCTAAAACCTAGCCGCCGCTTCTCTTCTTCTCAATGGTCGGCGACCACCAAACCGAATTTTCTCCCTCTCTCAGTGGTGTATCTTCTCTATCTTTTTCTTCTTCTTCTTCTCCATGGCCTAAAACCTAGCCGCTGCCTCTCTTCTTCTCCATGGCCGGCGACCCCTCTCTCATCTCTTCTCTCTTTCTCCTAAAAAAAAAAAAAAAAAAAAAAAAAAAAGTTCTTATTTTTCTCTCACCCGTTATTATTATTATTATTATTATTTTTTTTTAAATTGGACAGATATTTCCACAGAGGAATTCTCTAGCGTTGTGTTTCGCGGTTTATGTCCAGTCTTCGCGTTTGAAGTTTCCAGTCTTCACGTTTGAAGTTTATTCGTTTTGAAGTTCATTCGTTTTGAAGTTTATTCGTTCCGACTGCGGGAGCGTGCTAGCAAGTGATTGTCCAGTCTTCACGTTCATCACGTTTCGACTGCGGGGGCGTGTTAGAGAATATTATATTATAGAACTCTCCTAATATTAGGATTCTAGTATGATTCGGTTACCTAGATTAGTTAGGATTTAGTTACCTAGTCAAACTCTATTACCTTGCAATATTTCTCTATATATATTCCATGTAATCAACCCATAACACAATGGGGGTTTCTTTTACGTAATATTATTTCTCTCTTTCTCCTATTCTATTCTTCCTATAATTTATATAAACATGAAAACCACTCCTTATAAACAACTATATAAACATGAAAACCACTTTGTATACTTACCAAAATCCGCTATAAAACCATTATGTATACTTATCGATGTGTAAGAACCAAACCTCTTTAGAAATCCAAGTAAAGGCATGAGATTGGACAATCTTATCTTTTTGTGTTCCATCTTACAAATATTTAACACCATAAAAATTAGAATAATACATATTTAACCAATTTTTTGTCCATGGACGAATCCGCAATCCACCACCAACACGAGTCACTTTTCTTCTTGTTGTTGGGTCCTAATCATCAATACAAAGCACACGTAATATACAACTTAAATTTAAATAAAACCATAAATTAAATAAAAAAATCATTGTGTGGTTAAACATAAAATGAAAAAAAAAACGTAGATATATATATCAATACAAATCATGATCGCCGATCCAAAAAACGGCACCCATCTAATTCATTAATCGCCAAACTCGGTTCCAGCTAACGATTGTTGTCGAATTTCAATAACAGGGGATCAATTCTCGTCTCCATTGGCAACATGTTTTCCTCCTCCAGCCCTGCCTCCTCTCTTATATATGCATCCCGAATAACCCTAATAATTTGTTGTAATTTTTTTATAAATAATAAAAACCCTATCGAGAAAATTATAAAAAAATAAATAATAATTTTGTTTTGATGTTTACCTGAAGGGAAAGTTGTGGGCTTAAATGGCGGTGGCCGTCGAGAGATGAAGTGATGTTGACGCCGGCAGAGTAGTAGAACAATCCGGGAACCAAAACCAGAAACTGATTGCGCCCCAATCGCGCTTCTCTTGCCCCGCAGTGCGACACCCTCGCGAATGGCGGTGGGGCGGAGGGAGAAATGGATAGAGAGATTGTGGGATTGAGGAAGAGAGTGTATTGTTGGTAAAGGAGACAGAGAAGAGAATTTGTTGCAGCGGCAGTGGAGAAATTAAAACGACAAAAATAGAGAAGGGAGAGAGAGAAGATAGGAGAAGCGACATAATGCAAACATAAGATCTAGGGTTTGGGGTGAGACATATAAGAAATGTTATAATCATGAAACTGTATTAATTTTTATTAATTAAGAATATTTTGGATTGAACTTAAAAATGACAATTTTTTTGGACCCGTTGTAAATTGGGGGTCTAATGAGAGGGGTTTTGTCAAATAATCCCTAATATTTAAAGTGGATTGCGTTAATTTCATAATAAATTTTGCATTAATTTCATAAAAGTTTTCGATAAATTTCTAATAATTCTTCCTTTTAATTAATAGTTCCAAATTCTTTCTCCAGAGATCAGTGGATTTTAAAATTTTACTTTCAGTAAATAGTGGATTTAAAATATGGGGCTCTTTGAGAAAACCCCCTCACTACTTTTTTTAATTGAGGGAGGCCCAAAATATTTTAGACCATTTGAGAAAAGCCCATGATCCAATTCAGCCATTGTGTTTCCCAGCTTTACCCCCGCCCGCCACCTCATCACAGCTGGGCACGCGCTCCAGCGATTTTTATTTTTTTTTCCGTTTTTTTAATCGACTATGAAGCATAGTCGATTAGTCTTAAATCGACTATGCTTCATAGTCGATTAAGGAAAATCTTTAATTTTTTAATTTTTTTTTTAATTTTTTTTGGTTTTTTCAAAAAATCATTGAAATCAATAAACAAAAAAAATATACAAACATTATAATTGATTTATACATTGAAATCAATAAACAAAAAATCAAAAAAAAAAAATCAAAAAAAATTAACAACTGGAGTCGGTTAAACCTTAATCGACTACCGAACATAGTCGATTAAGCCTTAATCGACTATTGACATAGTCGATTAAACACACGTAGTCGATTAAGGCCCTGCCTGCGCGAATTTATTTTTCTGCGCGAATTCAACGAACCCATCGCAATCTTCCACCCAAAACCGCCGCCGCTAGCAGACCCATCGCAATCCTCCACTAAAAAACAACGCCACCAACAGATCCATCGCAATCCTCCACTCAAAACCGCCGCCACAACCATTATTACCATCACTCATGAACAGAGTACACAATCCCTATAATCGTCCGTCACTACCACCGGTCACCGAGTACACACTCCCCACCTGGGACGATTACATACACAGTAAAAAAAAAACACACACACACACAATCAGCTTTCGATTAACGGTCAAATCTTCGATTTCAGCGCCGTCTTCCGCCAACCAAACGACTCTTCAAAACGGTACCGATCGATTTCAGCGAAAACTGCCGCCGGTTGATTCCACCGGATTCACAAATCCAAAACGGAGAGTAGAAAACCTAAACGATGCGTGATCGCCGTAGAAGTTGCATCGGAATAATGAATTTCACACACACACACACAAATCGAAATCCGAATAAAAAAAAGTGCATGTAAATGTGGGTGTTTTGAGTGGGTGGATGCAGTAGTTGATGGGTTAAATGGATTGAACTTTCAGAAGAAAGGGTCTTTCGATGAGAGAGAGAGAAGAGAGAGAGAGAAAGAACAAGGTTGCAGAGAAGAGGTGAAAGGGCGAAGTGGGGTGGAGAAGAAGAAAGGTTAAGAAATAAGGGTGGTTTGGGAATTATTAAATAATAATAAGGGTGGGATATTAGGTAAGGGGGTTTTCTCTAATTATTTTTGGAAGGGGGGTTTTTCTTAACTCATTTACCTAGATGAGGGGGGTATTGCTAATTATCCCTTAAAATATTAGTGAATATCATTTTTGGTAAATCCGCTGTTAAAAGGAAACACATTATTAATTTTTGCAACAAAATTAAAAATAATATCAGAAATTAAAAAAATGGAAACAATATTAATTAAAATGAGACGTAATTTTAGGAAGAGAAATTGTGATAGGATACTAAATGTAGGTGATTTGCATATTTACAAGGGGCTCTTTGAGAAAACCCCCTCATTATTTTTTTTAATTGAGGGAGGTCCAAAATATTTTAGTCCATTTGAGAAAAGTCCACACCCATTTTCAGCCATTATGCTTTCCAGCTTTGTCCCCACCCGCCACATCATCACTGGGTCACGCTCAGCAATTTTTTTTTTTTTTTTTTTTTTTTTTCCGTTTTTTTTCTTAATCGACTATGAAGCATAGTCGATTAAGCCTTAATCGACTATGCTTCATAGTCGATTAAGGAAATTATTTAATTATTTAATTTTTTTTTTGTTTTTTTAATTTTTTTTTTCTATATCAGGTGTATTAATCGACTATGATGAAGCATAGTCGATTAAGAATCTGCTACTAAACATAACAAATTACAACTGCGAAAAAATGCAAAATCAACTATATTTTAGAAAGAAAAAAAAATATACAAACGTTATAAATGATTTATACAATTGAAACAATAAACAAGAAATCCAAAAAAAATAAAAAAAACTGGAGTCGATCAACCTTAATCGAATACCAGAACATAGTCGATTAGCTTAATCGACTATGAACATGTACATAGTCGATTAAGGTTTCAGCCACAAATAAACCCAAAATCGGCCTCCACATCGTCCCCACACCACCCAGAGCTTCTGCCATGGCCGAACCCGTCATATTTTGAGCATGTTCAGCTCCACCAATTAAGAAAACTAATTTAAATTAATTTAATCCCAATCATAAATTAACTTAATCCCAAAAGCAACACCAGAATAGAGAATATAACTGATTATATTCATTCTTTATTACTACTTTAATTTTCTGTGTTCGTTTTCATTTCTATTTGCTAGAGAGAGAAAGTTAGAGAGAGAGAGAGAGAGAGAGAGAGATTGATGTATAGAAATGGCGGGTTACGAACATCAGCAAGGCTCCGGCGGCGGTGGTAATTCTTCTCGCTACGTTCATCAGCTTCTCACACCACCGACGGACCTCCACTTGCAGCAGAGGCCGCCGCCGTTGCCTTCTCGTCTTGAAATTCATCACGAGCCGTCTGCTAATTCCAAGGACGACGACGCCGCCGCTACCACCAGCTCCGGGGGTACTCCCTCCGCCAACCGCCGCCCGCGCGGTCGTCCTCCGGGATCCAAGAACAAGCCCAAGCCCCCAATTATCGTCACGCGCGACAGCCCCAACGCGCTCCGATCCCACGTCCTCGAAATCTCACTCCAGCTGACGCGTGCGCGGAGACGACGGCGGCGGCGGCGGCGGCGGCAGAATCCTCCTTACTCTCCTGTTGAGCTTTCTCCTGTTGAGATTTCTCACTAATTTGTGTGTGTGTGTGTGTGTGTTTTTATGTGTGCGAGAGAAAGAGGGGAGAGAGAGAGAGAAAGAGAGAGAAGAGATAAGAGTGAGAAAGGGTGGTTTGGGAATTATTAAATAATATTTGGGTAGAATATTAGGTAAGGGGGTTTTCTCTAATTATTTTTGGGAGGGGGGTTTTTCTTAACTCATTTACCTAGATGAGGGGGGTATTGCTAATTATCCCTATTTACAAATCTTTATATAACAGTTCAATATGACAAATTTGGAATTTTGTTATTGAAGAGGTTATCTCAAATGTTGGTTTTAAATTTGGATTTATCACTTTAACGAAATTAAATGAGAGGATTTTATCATATAGCCCTTGAATAAAAGGTAGTCGTGGTTCAAGAATTTCTAATTGTACACGTCAACCTAGCCCGAATTGATTCCTCGAATTTATATTGTTGTCTTAAGAAAATAATGAGGTCAATGAAAGGAACTATGTTGAGTTTGCGTGGGATTCCACGACTCTAATGAGAAAAATAATAACAATAATAACTACTATGTGAAATTTAATTCCACAAGAAGATAATATCTAATAAATATATTTGTGTAATTAATTACAAGTGGTCCAAAACTATTTATGTTTATTGTAGCTTGAAAAGCTTTTTTGAATATTGCATCACAAATTCAAACGTGTTGAATGGATGGGGACTAGTTTGGGTCTGGCCCTTTTGGGCTTGAATTTACGAGATCCGAGACCCGGTCCGGATCCGAAACCATCCAATGCCAATTTCAAGAATTTATGTTGATCGAGTTCCGAAAGGGATGATCTACCAGTTGAAACAAGTGAGTTTGTGTCAATTGACTTACGTTCGAATTCCTTATTAACGGTTGCTAGGTTGAGTTTGCCACACATGGTTAGGGTTATATGATTTACGTCTCTCGTACGGCTTGCAAACTATTATACGAGAATGTAAATTTACGCAGTGCACCTTTGAATATAATAAATTGTTCCATATAGACTAAAAATAATACTTCATTTGTTCCATAATAACTGTCTCTTTTTAAAAATATTGTGTTCCATATTATCTGTCACTTTAAATTTCCAAAACTGCATTAATTACTTAATTTCCAGTTTATACTCTTACTAACTATTTCTAATATTTTTTTTATAATTCATTTCTCTCTCTTATTAATTATAATATAAGGTCATCTTAGGTTGTGTTTGCAAACGCTTTTTTAAAAACTGAAGTTATGGATTGTGAGTCAAGTTGGTTTTAAGTGCTTATTTGTAAAAATTGGGGGTATTTGCAAAACTACAGGAAAATAAATTTAAATAGAAAAAACGGAATTATAGGTGCTTAACAAATTATAACTTGAACTTGTTTATTTTAAGAGAAACAAAAGCAAAAGTTCATTTTGCAAACACTTAAAAATAGATTATGAGAAGAAAAAAAAGCTCATAATTTATTTGTAAAAGCTTTTGCAGACACCACCTTAGTCTAAAAGCATACTTTTTTTATAAAATCAAAACACATTTAATAATTTTTTTAATGCGTATGCAAAGCTAAAAACGACAATCAAAAGAAAACGGAGGGAGTACATTATAATGTTTTGGAATTCTATGTGTAATCATATTCTTGAATGTTGTAGTAGTCCGATCAATTTATTTATAATTAATTTTAAAAGCTTTAAACTACTCACAAATTACACTGTCATTTAGATAGTTGTTCCAAATTCTGCATTTGCAAACAATAATTTTTTCGGGATTTTTTTAATGTAACTTCTTGTCATTTTTTGGTAATTTTTCCCAACATTATTTTGTACTTTTATAATTGGACAAAAAAAATATGTGATAGATTAAAGTAATTTTTGTAGGGGTTTGTAAGAATAGTTTCTTACTTCTACTAATTTCAATCAAAACCCTAAACCCTTCAATCTTTTATCCAAGAATTTGCAAGGCCTCCTATTTTCAAGTCAATGCATTACACTCGTGTATAGATACGTCGGCAGTGTTCGGGGGGGCAACTTGTTTATTGGATCTAAATTCGAACCCGCCCTATGTTGGGCTGCACGATGATGATCCTGAAATATTCCTTCTGAAGGCGGGCCCCGCCACCATGTCGCCATTTCTGGATGACGGTGATTCGCATAGGATGATTTTCTTAGGACGGAGTCTTGCAAGAATGTCGAGTACAATAATACGATAAGATAGGATATTCGTCATCATCAAGAACAAACCCCTTTGTTCCTTATTCTTATGCTTTTCATGACTCACTATATATAAGGAATATTCTAAATTGGTAGCTTTACGTAGACGTTGTTCGAAAATATTTAGACTAATTTGTATAATAAATAATAAATTTATAGATATATTTTATTTTATCTCTCTCGGTTTCGGTTTCAGTTTCGATCTTCAAAAATACTACTTATACAAAACACTAGTTACGTTAACTAAATACTCCATTACAACAAAGTAAACAGATTGAGCTTACATTCTCCATTTCCCAACTTCTAAGCGAAAGAAAGCTCGAGCTGCGAAACATTGCATGGATTCCACCTCCCGTTTGCGCTCCAACCCTAACCTTTGAGTGGGCCCCGCTTGCGCAGTTCAAACATATCGATTATTATAGTAGCTTTGGTCTTGTGGGAGTAGTAGAACATGTGCATGTCAATTGTCACCCCATAACATCAATATATCACCATCGTCGAATAATTTGATCGGATAAACAACTTGATTAGATTCACCCGCAAGATTCGGGCTTTTCCGAATAACAAACTCTGCTCCAAGATTCCGCATCCCCGTATATACTCCTTCATCAACCATATAACAATTTCTTCATCTGATGTATTACCACACAAACAAAGGCAATTTCCTAAAGCCACTAGCGCCAAACAAGGAATCTTTCGTCCCTTGTCTGAAAAGGACAAGGACAAGGAAACGTGCTAAACAATTATGTTTCGTGATCGAAGCAAGATTTTGAATCCACTACGAACCAATGAAAAGGAACACCCCATATGTGTGAAGCGTTGCATAGTTTAGACCACCTCCCCATAACTTTCCAAGCATATCAACCTTGAACGGACCTCGCGTCCGCAGTCCAACCATATCGATTCTTTAAAGAGTTTTCGTCTTGTCGAAGTAGTAGAACATGCAGTCGGCACCCGATAGCATTATCATATCACCATCTTTGAATACTTTAAACGGATAAACAAGCGTACAATATCTACCGACCACATGTGGCGCGTTGCTAATAACAAATCCTCTGCTCCAAGTTTTATCATCCCCTCACTCCTTCAACAACCATATAACAAATTTCATCGCAACCGTTGCCGCACAAACAAAGGCAACCCCGTAAAACCACTAGCGCGCACGGTTGGTTTCTGACGGACGAGAAAACGTTGTAAAAGTTTCCGTTTCGAGATCAAAGCAAGAAACCAAACAAGAGCCCGCAGGATCCCGGTACTATTTCAAAAGGAACGATTCGGTGCTTCTCCACAATCTTGTTGTTCCGAGAGTGTAAACCTTACAAGTGTCCTCATTATGGTCAATCAAGACCGCCTTATATATATTGGCCGGTGGCTCGGCTAACTCCGAATCCGTAAGTGGTTGTTTTCATATCGGGATTCGGGAGACGGACACACTCACGAGTGATGGGATTGCACATGCAGAAGATAGAGGATTAGTCGGCTACTCTGCCGCGCAAGAGAAGCAAGCCGTTGACTGAACCTGTTATATCTGCATTGTACGTGGGGCAAGGGAATAATATTGGTGATCATTTCTGGCCGTAGATTTGTCTTGAATTAATTTGATGTCGGAATTCCAAAATTCGTCGGCCCACATATATGACGGCAACGGTCAAAAACAAATTCTAGATAAATATAAGAAAGCTTCCATTATTCACACTCGTTTATTAGTTTGAACAAGTCCCAGAGTCCTAGTCTTTAGGATATTTGTTATGTTTCCTTTATTTTTGTTGTTGGGCTTATCACATTTCTTAGTTTTTAGCTTGAGTACTTTTTTTTCATTTTCTTTTATATTTTAACAGGCTATTTAATAAGCTTTCTGCTCAATAAGTGATAAGGAAATTCTCCAGAATATTGAGTATTCTTTCTGCTTTGTATTCTTAATTCCTAACATTCTGGTATCAGAGCGAGGTTGGGCTTGAAAAAAAGGAGAAATCAAAACGGTTATTTGCCGCAGCAAAGAATATGGTAAGTGACGGGAGTTTTGTGCAGCCAGCCATTCCTCGTTTCGATGGTCGCTACGACCATTGGGGTATGTTGATGGAAAACTTGTTACGGTCGAATGAGTATTGGGAACTGGTAGAAACTAGCTATGTTGAGCCAGAAAAAGGAGGAGAGACTCAAACGGAAACTCAACGAAAGAGACTAGAGGAGTTGATGTTAAAAGATCTAAAAGTGAAAAAGTATATATTCCAGGCGATTGATAGAACAACATTGGAAACCATTCTCGTAAAAGACACTTCAAAATATATATGGGATTCTACGAAGAAGATATATAAAGGGAATGCTAGAATAAAGAGGTCATATTTCCCTGCTCATGGCATATGTAGAGATGAACTAACAACGACAATAATTTGAAAATTGTTTTAATCTTCTAAAGCAAGAGATGAAGTGGCTTGATACTTGTGAAACAAATGAGCAAGCAAATGCTTCTTTTGTCAATGTCGAAAGTATTCCAACATCTTCGTCTTTAGTTAAAAAAAAAACATCAAAAGAACAACTCAAGAGAAAACAACGAGAACTAGAATGCCAGACCTCATCTACAATGCCAAAGTACTTACCAACAAGAGTTGGGAAACAAAGATGCAATGAAACGCAAAAGATGTGCTCAACACGAGAGGCTCATAGCAGTACATGAAAAACAACAAATGACGACGAAGACCGTAAACATATAGATGGAGTCCGTGTAGAGAATGACATTAATTATGACGAAAAACACTTGAAATGAGAGAGATTGAGGCAACTTGTTGGGATATGAATTAGATCAATTTTGCATAAGTACATGTAATTGCATTAGGACTTAGTAGATGATAAATGAATAAATAACTTTAGTAAAATGACACATAGAAAAGTTTTTTCATTTGTGATATCAAACGCTTTTAAGAACAATCACAAATTCAAACCTATTTCCATCACTGGATAAATATACGAGGACTAGCTAGTTAGTTTTGAGCTTCAATATGTCAAGATCCGAGAATCGACCCGACTTGTCCAATGCTAAACTTGAGATGTATCACTGTCGATTCGAGACTGTCCAATGCTATATATATATATATATATATATATATATATAATTAATGAATGTTGTAGTTGCTCGATCAATTTATTTTTAATGAATAGTAAACACTTTAACTGATTACAATTTACCATTATGGAAGAAATCCGGGTAAGACATGCACTTTCTCGGGAATGAAATAATTCCGATTCTTTCATTTGGTATTTTAGCCTAAATTCCTTGCCTCCTCGATACTCAACCGAATCAATTTTTTTGCCGATTGAATGCATTTCTAATGTCCCATATTTAGTAATGCCCGAGCTCTTTCTTCTGTATCGAGGATCTTCGAAATAAGCAAGTATACTACACTTGTCTAAATACTACATCTCATAAACATACTTCTTGGGATTTCCTTAATCTAAGATTTTTTTTTTTTATAATTAAGGCCTTTTTGGTATTTTCCCCAACTTTCTGTATGTAATTAAATTGAAAAACATGTAATCGGTCACAAAAGTAATTTTTGTAGACTCAAGGGGTTTCTGAAAGAAATATCTTACTTCTGTAGGGACCATGTACTAATTTAAATAAAACCCTAAACCCTACAATCTTTTATCCAACCCTTTCATCCCCTTTTTTTAATTTTATTATCGATCTTAATTTCAGCAATGGCGTCCAGATGCAGCCGAATTTTCCAGAGATCCGCCATTTCTACACTCAAATCCGCCATCTCCAAACAAGCTTCTTCCTCCTCCAGATCAGCCACGGCGGCGCCGACGAGGCCCCCTCTCCCTTCCAAATCATCTCCATCTCCCATTCCTAGATTCTCTCTCTCTAGGTACCCCTGATTTCCGCAGTTCTTTTTTTCCTTGTTAATTTGGATTTTATTATAAAATTTTCCCCAGTACTAAAAATGAATAAAAATTGGGTGTCAGGACACCGTCGGAGTTGGGCGGCGTGGCGTCGATGCTGCCGCTGCACAGCACGGTGGCTAATGCGAGGATGACGTCATGTCTGAGCACATCATCTCGGAATTGCCGGGCTCTTTCTCAGGGTACACTCTGCTGCACTTCTCCAGATCTCTAGCTAGTATGTCTTAGTTTTTTTACTTCTCAGTTTTCTTATCATAACTTTTGTGTGGTTACCGAAATGTGTCCAAGATTGCTGCTTTACTTGTTATCGACATCTTATTGTCGTAGATTGTTAGTATAAGAGAATTATCGAAAGCTGTGTTTTAATTTTGGAAGAGTCAGTGAAGTAACTGAAAGTCGGAATCGAGGCCACACGTCTGGACTGACTGAAATTACGTGTTGTACGAATATGAAATTTGATGTCTAAGTTTTCATACTGGTAACTAAATCTTAAAATTGATGTTTGCTACATGCTTGACTATGCGTTTTGTCTCATATATTTTGCTTGCTTTAAAGAGTGATTCTGTGATTTAATCGACAAGAATCGTTTACTCGTGTGAGTAGTCATTTTAAGTGATCTTTATTGTGTGTGTGCTAAAATAATTTATCCTGATTGATTGACCTTCATTCATCCTGTTCCAACTGTACCTCGTCTGCATACAATGCTTAAGTACCGTTTCAATTTCTCTAGCACAGTGCGCGTGAATCGATGTAATTTTAAATAACACTTACATATCCTGAAAGTAGAAATGTGCCTTCATAATCCCAAATAAGCTCTATCGTGTTTATTTGATTCATGGGAGGCCTACACTAATTACGGGAGTTCGCTGATAGCACCTCTCTATTTCCAGGAGGTGTTTCAATAGTACCTCACCGTATATACATTGCTTGCATATTTTTTTACCTTTAAAGTTAGCCTTCTTCCCATTTTTTATATCATAAAAAAGTGAACTTGAATTGTAAAGAAGTAAAAGAAGCTGATTTTGAATATTGTCTAGCTTGTTAGCGATCGAATTTGGGTCGTTTCTTTTGTTGGATGGACGGCAAAAATTAGCAATCTAACTGGAATATTTTAATTCCTGCAGGCACATGAGTTTCCAAATGCTTGAAAGAAATACAAGAATTTGCAAGGTGTCCTATTATGATTTAATGCATTACACTCATGTATAGATATGCGTGCTACATTTCTAGGCAAATAGTTCATTGGATCTACATGAAGGACAATAGACACCAATCCTGCTAATGATTTAAATTTCATATGCCAAACAATTTTCTTGAAAAATAACATAATCGCATTTATGATCTGATTGAGTGCCATCAAATGTTCATTTTTTATCTGATTGTTATTTATTTCTTTTCTTTGGAAGCCTACTTAATAATTGGGATATTTCATGTTTGATTTTCATTATTCAATCTCTGTGATGCCTTAATATGTGAAATAAACTATATTTTCCGTGTGTGAATTCAATGGTAAACTTAAGCATCTAATATTCCTTTTTGTGTAGTCCTACATTGTGTAAATGGAACCCACAGCTGTACCTCCCTGCGCACAAATTTGCCGTGCAGTAGCGGTTATACCTTTTTCTTTGTTGACAAAGGAACCCACAGTTTTACCTTTCTGAATATACTGTAGGTCAGCTGATCGTAAAGCAGTTTTTGCCCGATTTCCAGTTATGGAAATTCTTGATTGTGTCTATTAGAACTGAAGTAGAAAGAAATTACGTGGGTTGTCGAACTAAAATTTCTCAGTTGAAATATGGTCTCGATTAATTTTTTGTTTGGATTGTGTGTTGGGTTAACAAACATGGTGACGCTTAGTTCTCCTTTTCTCCAGATGAAACTGATGGAACGTGAGAAATGTTTGCAGCGAATGTGGCTTAGTCATCTGCTCTAGAGTTGGTTCCTAACATACCTTCAATTTCTATATTTCATGTTGTCTTGTTAATCCTCAGCTATTGACTATTGGGCGATTTTTTATCGCGTAGCATTTGTATGGAGGCTAAGTTGTTCGTGTTTATCAACAAATTTTAGATGATCGTATCCTAGCAATTTTTCATTATCTTCAGTTAGGGCCATATTTTCTTTTCAGTTCAAAAACTGTAGATAAATGAATATCAAGTCTTGTTTTTTTTAATCTTTTTTTTTTTTGAGGAAAACGAATATCGGGTTATTGTCCTCGTATCTGATACAAGTTTCTTTGCTGTTTGTTGTATTAGAGCTAGGTCTGTCTGTTCCGAGGTGACCATCATAGCAGATTTGCAATGTTATCCGTCTTCTTCGTTTGAGTGGAACAAAGGCAGGGCATACATTTAGCTGGAGTTTCCAAGACATTATTAATATAAACTCATTCCAGTGTACTTAAATACGAAGATGTTTTTTTTGGTTCTATTTCGATTGGCTGGAAAAACTTTATTTTAATTTTTCCCTTTCTGATTAATATTCTATGGTTAATGGTTCTAAGTAAGATCCACATTTTCTGTCAATGGAGATTGTTCTTTACCAATCACCGCAACCAGCATGCTTTTTTTCGAATATTATTACTTTTCACTTCAATTGGAATGTTACGTTTCAAGCAAAAAAAAAAAAAAAAAATCGAACTTCTCCAGTATTATTCGACTTTTTTTTTTTGTTTTATTCTTTTGTGTATAAACCGTGATGTTAAAAATCCGCATCAATATGAATCACAAGGATTGTAAATAATCACGAGGAGAACTTGTTAAATATGGCTATCGGGTTGTGCTATTCTTCAATCGTATTACTTATGTCGATAAAATACATGTTCCATCATCCAATGCGATGATACGAGATTATCTACTAATTTACCAGGTGGATAATTTTGTACTAAAGACTCGCATAAATAGTTTTAGTGTAATGCATTTGATCAACCAATTCGACCAACACTTAAGAATAAACCTTACACGCTATAACATCAAAATGAAATCAATTTCTTTAACAAGATTAATCAAAAATTTAAACACTTCAATCTAGTATTTTTTCATAGTTCTTATACATGCATGGACCTAAATTCCAAATTTCTTGAAGAATATAAAGAGTTATATCATCTATTTTAACTATTAGCAAGAATAACAACTAAAATTGTTTTTCTCTTCCACTAAAAATTCCATTCTAATTTCGGAATGCTTCGGAATCGGCGGAATTTCGGAAAATCCGGAAATTGCATTAATTCATAATTTTTTGTTGCAAATTCGGAAATCACTGGAATGTTTAGAAAGTTTTTCTAATCTTATTGTAATTTTTCGACAAAAAGGAAGAAATCCAAAACAAAGGTCAACAAAATGCAATGTAAACAAAAACAACATAAATAGTTCAACATAGCCAACAATTTTTTTTTTTTTTTTTGATAAATAAGAGTATATTATGACGAGAAAATAAAAATGTCTATAATGGGATAACCCCATCACAAAAACGCAAAAGGGGTAACATAGTTCTTGTAAAATATGAATAGAAAAACAGTTCAAAAAAGCCAACATAACAAATAAAAAAAAAATTCTTGCAAATGTTCCTATGATCTAAGAAATATAAACTATCATAATTGGATATTTATATTTTTCATATAATATATATCATAATTATATTACATAAATATAAAATATATCATAAAATTATATATTTATATAGATATATAATATTATATATTTCGGAACTAAAATCGGATCGGATATCGAAATTTTCGGTAATTTTATAAAATTCCAATTCCGTTCCAACAATAGTCGGAAAAAAACGGAAATCAGAACTAACAGAACTAAAAAATGGTTCCAAATTCAGATTTATTCGGATCGGAATCGGCGGAATTCAGATATTCCGTTCCAATTTACACCCCTAGTTGACATATTATTGTCATAAGGGGGAAATTGTTTTACGAGAGGGGGTAATTGTAATTTTGCTAACATGAGGGTTTTTTTTGTAATTTAGACATGTCTCTTTGGTTGTTCACAATTTACCCAACTATTTATTTCAAAGATTCCCACGGTGAGAACTGGGATGCATGTTTCTCTTTGTTCTTTTTTTTTGATGGAATTCTTCTCTAATATTAAATACCAACTTGGGAAATGCAAGTTGGCTGAGAGAGAGAGAGAGAGAGAGAGAGAGAGAGAGAGAGAGAGAGAGAGAGAGAGAGAGAGAGAGAGAGAGAGAGAGAAATGGCTTATGCCGCTGTGATTTCCCTTATGCAAACAATGGAGCGCCTTTCGATCCTTTCCCAATCCAAAAATCTTCTTTCTCAGTCAGAAACGATATATATCGACGGCGAGATTCCTAATTTGAATTCATTTCTCGAAACAATCGAGTACATTCCTACCGTCAAGATATTTGACGCGGCTTCCGAAAGACGAGTCATAGATGCCGTACAAATATTCGAAGATCTGATCGACTCCCATTTATCGGATCAATTGTCCGAATGCAGCAGCTCTTCTACAGATGGCCATCAGATCAGTTTCTCTTTGCTCTTCTCCGAACAACTACCAAAAGTCAAAGAAGAACTCAGTTCGTTTCTCACAACTTTGTCGAACATCACCGACGAACAAAAACAACAGCTGCAGAGGTATTGTTTCGCTTCTTCCGATTATAATACCGTGAATCAACAACAAAATCTTCTCGTGGGATTGGACGACCAAATTAAATGACTAAAAGAATGGATTTTGCGTCCCGAATCCACTCTTATTTACATCGGTTGTGGGCATGACTGGCATCGGTAAGACTACTCTTGTTGAAAAAGTTTATAGCGATCCAAGTGTTCTAGAGGAGTTTGAAACTCGTTTATTTGTGCACATCGGCCCACGGTATAATCGATCCGAAGAAATTGTGTGGCTTGTTCTCTATCAACTTGGCATCACCTCTGATAAGTTTCTCAAAAGGGATTACGTGAAGCAATTGTCGGAGGCTTTATCCAATAAAAAGTATCTGATTGTGTTAGAAGATGTATGGGCTGGTATTCATGAGTGGCATGATCTACAATATGATGGTTTTCCAGATAACGGGAAAGGAAGTCGCTTCATCATCATATCTCAGATCGATTGCTACGTCGTGTCGAGTGTCATCGTATTACCATTGCTCAAGGACAATGAAAGTTGGAAACTACTTCGTCAGACGGCATTTAGTGGTAGTGAAGATAAATGCAGTCGTGAACTCGAGAAAATTGGGAAGACGGTTGCCATAAACTGCGAGGGACTCCCTGCGGCAATTATACAAGTCGGAGAGAACTTGCGTGGAAAATCTTTTCAAGAATGGAAGACATTATCAGAAAAAAGAAGATCCATTAGTCATCACAAGAGATGATGATACACCCCTCTCGGAGGCACTATATTTTAGTTACATGATGTTGTCTCAACGACTAAAGCTCTGTTTTCTATATATGGGTGTGTTCCCAAAAAACTATGTGATTTCTCGATCAAAGCTCGTCAAATTATGGGTTTGTGAGAGCTTTGTTATGATCTATCAAGATTGTTTTCAACCCCTGAAGAAATTGCCGGAGGGAATATTGATCAACTTATTCGCCAAAGTGTTGTTTTGAAAGAAAAGTCGACCGCTCTAAATTTATATAACGCTAAGAAATGTCGGCTGCATTTCACCTTTCGGAGTCTATGTGTTAACGAAGCTAAGAGTGAAAAGTTTTTCCATATTCTGAAGAAGTACTCCGATTGTAAGCCACGGAACATCAGAAACCATAAACGTCTGTGTGCCCACAATAACATTGTTCTTGCTTTCGCACAAGTGCAAGAATGGATGGAATAAGTTTCAGATGTGCGATCTCTTCTTTGCTTCGGACCAAAACAACAATATCCAATAGTGTTGCCCTTGCATTTTAGATTGCTCAAGGTACTAGATGCACTTGCACTCCGCTTCTACGAGTTGCCACATCAAATACTTGCATTACTTCACTTGACGTATCTTTCCATCACGTGTGACAGAGAGCTCCCCAACTCCATATCTAGACTCTGGAACCTGGAAGTTTTGATTTTATGTCGGCATCATAACATCAAATTGTCAAATAATGGTCCGATTTATCTGCCTATAGATATCTGGAACATGCATCGACTCAGCCAACTTTATTGCAAGGGCTTCGACTTGCCAGCTCCTCTCGATGATTCTCATCTTGAGAATCTTAAAACACTTTCGGGTGTGAGTGTTCACAGTTGTACAAGAGAAGTGCTTTCAAGAATCCCCAAGCTAACGAGAATAGCCGTTCAGATTGAGTCGGCACACGACGCGACCGAAAACTTCAGTTTTTTCGATCATATTTCCACTCTCCATGAGGGACTTGAGTCATTCAAATGTGTCGTGGTAAATCCTAATCTGAGTTCTCAGGTTGTTCCTAGCTTTCAGAATTTTCCGAAGTACGTTCGTAAGATGACTCTGAGTGGATGCGGATTTAAATGGAAGAATATGGGAGCGATTGCAGGATTTGAGGGTCTTCAAGTGCTCAAACTACGATGGTATGCGGTTTCCGGCCCTGTATGGAAAACGAATGCTAAGCAGTTCCCTAGTCTTGTGTTTCTGCTGCTGGAAGACTTGGATATAGAGCACTGGGAATCCGACGGTGAACGTTTCCCATATCTAGGCCATGTGATTTTTAGTCATTGCTACAAATTGAAAAGCATCCCGGATCAATTGAAGCACGTCAAGCTAATAGAAGTGGATGATTGCAGCCTATCCCTTGAGAAGCAAATGTGCGAGTGGCGACCCTCTTGTGTTTATAATGAAATGAAAATCCGTTCTTCATGTACTCGTCTATAGAGCTAAGCAATGGTCGTCAAATTTATGTGCAAATTTTTAATATGGTACGCCGATGAAACCGATGGAATAGAAATGAGCGATGTAGTTTAATCATTCTAGAGTTGGCTTGAAGATACTTGTTCAATATCTATATTTCCGTGTCTTGTTAATCGTCAGCTATTGACTATTGGGCCATTATTTATTGGAGTTTATTGCAAATACCACCCCTGTGAAATCGCGAATTGGAAAATACAAGTGCAAGAATAGATGGAATCAGTTTCTGAAAGTGCTGCTTTATTTGTTTGGTTGTCATATACTTCGGTTTGTTTTATTAACTAATGTTTCCAATTCTTGAACCAATGTTGAAGGTTGCTGGATTGAAGAATAGGATGGGTTTGACTAGACACAGCCACGGGGCGGGTCGGGTCCGACTTTTAATGAATTCGAAACCGACCCGTGGGGAGGCAGGTCCACCCGGGTCCATTCGGGTCCGGGTCCAAACCGGTTCAATTGTATTTTTCATTTCCAAATAATTATAAGAAAGAAAAAAAAATTAAATTGAATCTTGAAAAAACTTGAGTTAACTTTAAATTCGAAATTACAAAAAAAAAAAAAAATTGAATTTAAACACTAAAAAATTTTAGAAAAAAATGTGACGATTAAGACCTTGAGACATAAACTAAATAAAATGAAAGTTGTGAAGATTGGATTAGGGGTATTTATAAGTGAAAATAATAATTGAGAATTTTTTTCAAAATTTTAAAATTCAAAAAAAATCAAAATTCAATATTTCTTTTAAATTAAATCGTAATTTTTTATATTTTTCAAAATTAAATATATATGCATTTGTTATTAGTGGAGATTTTTAATATCAATAATAGTGAATATGACAATTAATAATTTATTAAACATTAGTTATACAATTATTATAATCATTTTAGAGTGTTATTTATATTTATATCTTTATAGTTAGGATTATTATACAAAATCCCTAGTGGAGATTTTTAGTACTCTACAAAATCATTCGGGCGACCCCGAGAACGATCCCCAAATCCAGCATTTCTTGTGATATTTCACATAAAATTTTGGTGGACCCGACGGGTACTCGGGTCGTTCCGCCTGGTAGACCCGTCGGGTCTGAGTCCAAAAAATCAAGACCTCAAACCGATCCAAAGAAAATACTTCAGTTAATCAACTATTTGGTTTTAGTATAAGATAAACAACAAAACCATCGAGTGCAAAAAAGCTTACTGAATTGTGCACCAACGTCATTAGTCGAAAAAGTACACGGATTGTACTCCAGAGAACTTGAGAAGCCAACAACGTCTGTGCGTCCACATTAACGTTGTTCTTGCTTTAACACAAGTTCATGAGTGGATGGAATCTGTTCCAAAACAATAATATACAATAGAGCTGTTGCCCTTGCATTTTAGATTGCTCATGGTACTAGATGCAGTTGCCATCCGCTTCTATGAGTTCCCACATCATGTACTTGCATTAATTACTTCACTTAAGGTATACCTTGCCATCACGTGTGACGAAGTACTCCCCAACTCCATATCCAGACTGTCGAACCTTGAAGTATTGGATTTCTGTCAGCATCATAACATCAAATTGTCGAATAAATATCCGGTTTATCTGCCTATAGAGATGTCGGACATGCATAAACTAAAGCAAATTTACTTTAAGGTCTTTGATCTGCCAACTCCTCCTTACATTGATTCTTTTCTTGAGAATCTTTTAACAGTTTCAGGTGTGAGTGTTCATAGTTGTACCATTGAATTTGTAGCACCCCACATCCCCAAAACCCTTAAGAAAATGATTAACATTAGAATGTCGTACCATATGAATTTTAAATAGGGTTCTACTCGAAGAATTATGTGCTTAATTGTTAAGTGTTTAATTAAATATGTGACCTAATGTGCGTAAGTGTGTGCATGTGGATCATTAATGCATGTTACGACTTAATATATATGTGCGCATATCATGAAACATGATGGTTATATGTGTGTGTATAAAATGTACGTGTGTGTGTGTGTGAGTAAGTATAGAATAATTAAGCCATTAAACAATAATAATCTAAGCCTAACTTAGTACCTATTAAGTTTAAACCCACACTCCACCTCCAGCATGCCTATTAGAATCCCAAGAGTCTCCTTCTCCCTCACACACTTCGGCTCCTTCACTCTCTCTCTCCTATCTTCCTCTTTTCTTCAAACCACCGAAACCACCATTGCCATCAACCTCCATCAAGCTCAAGCCACCCCAAAACCATCAAGATATTTCTCAAACCAAGATGAGAATTCCATATCTAACCCCTGCTCTTGAATACTCGAAAAACACTATAAATACATGGTGTCCCTTCACAAATGAAAACACATCCCATCTTGAAATCTATACCGTATCATTCTCCATTAAAGTAGCTTGGCTGAATCTTCACACTTGAAGAGGTAAGAGTCCATTTGAGTTCTAAAATTCCTCTTCTTTTCTTCATTTTCCTTCCCTTTCTCTAAACTTCGATTTTTATTGAAGGACCCCAAGGACTCTTCCTTTTCGGCTAGCTTTTGTTTTTCTCTATTGTTAGGTAAGGAAATCGAAATCCTTGCTGCAAATGGAGGTATCAAGTATCAAGAAATAATTTCGAAATTAATCTAAAAGATACCCCTTTTGTGCTTGTCCTTGCATTTCTATGTTTATTCTTGTTAGATCCTATGTTTAAAATCATTGCATGTATGATCGGATGTCATAAATAGGGGATTCGAACTATTTCAGAAGGGGATCCTCAAAGAAATTTTCAGTTTATTTCGGAAATTTTAGAGGAAATATTTTTTTTGTGAAAATGAGGGGTTGCATGTGCAAATCGAATGATATTTGGGTCAAATCTATAATTTTCGAAGAGTACAGTCCTTAATGTGACTTCAAAACTATTTTTCCAGCCTTTGTTGAAGAGAAATTGCGGTTGCAAAAAGTTCTTGAAAGGAAAAAGGGAATTTGAAACTTTAGTGGGCTTGCATGTGTGGATCTAAAGAATTATAGGGTGAAAAATGACATTTTCGAAAGTTCTGCACAAAGTCACTTTTAACTTGGTTCTCTGCATTTATTAAAGTAAAAATTTTAGATTGTTAAGGGTTTTTGCATGAAAGAGTGGATTTTGAATTCTTAGTGTGATTACATGTGTAATTCTTGAAACTTTGGGGTCAAAATTGTAAATTTCAGAAACTGCCGAGTATTTTTTGCTCAATATTTTAGAATCTATTTAATCAATATGTTTTCTTGACATTAGAAATTTTAAAAGAAGGAATTGGGAGTAGGATATCTTTGAAATGATATAATTTAAAAGGATTTTTCTTGTTAATGTTTCGTTATACTTGTTTTAATGGTGTTAAGCCTTAATTAAGAATTGGTGATGTACCTACTTGTATATATGCATATATGTGTGGGTCAGTCCATATAAATATATGTATATGTATATATATGTATACAGGTAGATATATATATAAGTAGTGATCGTATAAACGTTCATATACATATATAGGTAGAATACGTATATTAGGAAATAATGT